CACAAACGCAAAATAAATCGGGGGTGAGAGCTGACGAGGAGAGCGCCCGCGGGCAGGGCTTTCGCCAGCTCCCCGGCCGGCCCGGGGCGCGCGCGGGGCAGCGCGTGCTGCGGCCCGGTGGGCGCCCCTTCCCGGGCTGTAAACAAGCTGTCACAAACCGTAACGCTCCGGCTGCGAGCGGCCCGGGGCGCGCGCGGGGCAGCGCGTGCTGCGGCCCGGTGGTCGCCCCTTCCCGGGCTGTAAACAAGCTGTCACAAACCGTAACGCTCCGGCTGCGAGCGGCCCCGCTCCGCCATCCTCAGAGGGGCCGTGGTTTTTTACATCACTGAGTGAAAGGCTTCGTATGCTGTTACCCACCTCCCCCCAACCCCTTTTCGGCCGCTTAACCCTTTCCTCCCTGAGGGACCCCGTTCTCTTCGCCCTCAGGCTCAAGGCGGGCAAGGGGAGTTGCCACCTTTCCCGGGAAGGAGTCACAGCCCCCCACCCCCAGGGGAGCGGGCCCCTGCCACAGCCGGTTGCTGCCCCGTTAGGGGAGCAGGTCCGTCGGTTTCGCCGCAGACAAGGCCTGGGCTCAAGCCTCCGGTGCCGAGAGGCAAAGGTGAGAGGCGCTGAGCCTCCCCCTTCTCCAGGCCTGGGGGGGCTCTTTGCGCTTCCCCTTTCGAAGCTCACACACCGTGTGCAGGGCAAGGCCCAAGAAGCGTCCCTGCCCGGCGAGCTCCGCAGGCGGCGCCGCCGGGCATTTTAGGGAAGCAGCACGGCTTTTCCCCCGCAAGCACGGCGAGGAAAGGGGCCGCGGAGCGCCGCGGGCGGCCGGGCAGGCTGCGGGGTCCCGGCCGGGCACCCGCCCGTGCCTGCCCGGCGTCCCGGGAGCGGGCGGGGGAGGCCCCAGGTAAGGGGGGACGCTCCTTAGAGGGGAAAGGGAAGGAAAAATCTGCCCCGAGTGCCGCCTCCAGCCACAGGGGCCGTGTCCCGGCTACACGTGCCTGACTCTGCAGGGCTGGATCTCGCTGCAGTCAGCGGCGGGTCTGGGCTCCGGGATCGGGTTATTATTTAATTACGAAGCGTGTGTGTGCGGAACACTGTAACACAAAGAGCTTTATTTTACAACCCAAGAAATCCGTCTGTTCTTATATACAATATCACGATCCATCATTTAAATAGATATTTGTTATGTTTACAAAAGAAAAGACAGTACTAAAATTATTTACAGGAAGGAAACGAGGCGGGAACTCTTTAAATACGACTAACACGAAATGCAACCAACAGCTTCACTCAGACAGGAATGAACTTTCCGGTGAGTCTCAGACAAAGCGGACCACCGGTACACAGGTAAGTATCTTAAATACAAAACAAAAAAAAAAAAAAAAGAAAAAAAAGGGGAGGGGTGGTCTATGCAACACAATTTAAAGAAAAAAAATAAGGAAAAAAAAAAAGGAGGAAAGAAAAAGGGGGAAAGTCTGTTTGGCTCGGGTCACTGAGAGCCATTTTCTTTGGGGTAGGTGTACCTTGACTCGACCTTAGCAAGGCCCCTGCCTGGGCTTTCCACTGTGTTAATTTGCTTCATTACTTAGTTTAGAGGGAAGGGGGTGGGGGCTCCATCCCCGTTAAATATACTACCAGAGCAACCGGATTTATTTCTCCACCACTTCCTCCACGCTGGGCAGTTTGGGCTCGTCGGAAGAAATACTGTCCACTATGGAAGAGAGGCAGCGCAGGCTGCTGGAGGCCGACGACTCGACGATGGAGCCTCCTGCTCAACGAGAGAAAAGGGATTAAAGAGCAAACCGTGCCTCCTCCTCCTCCTCCTCCTCGCCGGGCCTGCGGCGCAGGGCTCGCAGCAAGGCGGAGAGCCCGGGCGCCGGAGGGTGAGAGACCGTTGGGGGCCGCGACCGTTAGGGACTGCGACCGTTAGGGACGACTGCGACCGTTGGGGCAAGGGAAGGGCGCTCGGCAGCGGGGGCGGCGGGGTAGCGCGGCCCGGCGGCGGCCGCTCCGCCGCGCAGAGGGAGTCCGGCGGCCGCGGTGCGAGTTACCTTCCTTGGGGCTGACTCCTAGGGCTCGGGAATGGTCAGAAACGCTTTGCCAGTCGGAGCTGCAGGTGCTGAGGAAGTCCGAACTGGGGATCTGCGGCACACACACGGGGGCGGGAGCGGGGGGACACGGGGAGAGGACGGGTGTTAGCGAGGCGGACCGCGGCTCCCCGGGGCGGGCCGGCTGCTCGCTGGAGGCCCGAGGAGCCCGCAGGTCCCTCGAGGAGCCCCCTCCGCGCCCGCCAGCCTGCCCGGCCCTGCCGAGGAGGAGGGGAGGGGACGGGCGCGGCGGTTTGGCAGCTGGATGCCGGGGCGGCGGGAGGAATCAAGCGGCCGTGCTTACATTTCCCTGCTTGGGGCTGAAGCTGAAGGGGTCCCCCCCGATCTCCTGCATTTTGTCCTGCTGATCCAGTCTGTGCAAGAGGTCCTGCAGCCTCTCGATGTAGCTGATGGCGCTCCTGAGGATCTCCACCTTGGGCAGCCTCTGGTTGGGGTTCGCCACAGTCCGCCTTTTCAGAGCCTCGAAGGCTTCGTTGATCTTCTTCAGTCTCCTCCTCTCCCTCAGGGTGGCTGCTTTCCGTCTGTCCGTGGGGGCCGACTTTCTCTTGCAAGTTTTGCAAGCCCAGATCAAACACTGGCCGGGGCAGTGAGGGGGTTGTAGTCCCGGGGGTGCCAGCACATGCTCCTCTCCGCTGCTGTCGCTGCCGGCCTCTGGCGGCATTTGGTCCTGACAGGGGGACAAGGTGCCATCACTGCCTGGGTACAGTGGGGATCCCTCTGCCATCTCCAGCTGCTGCAGGGCTCCATTCTCCCCGTCCAAGTAGAAGAAATAGGAGCCAGTTTCAAAAAGGTCCATCATCATGCTGTCCCTTGGCCTCTCTGCCTGCTTGAGTTGGGTGGCAGGCTCAAAAACACCCAGAGGAACAACCCGGATGGAATTTAATTAGTGCGGTGACATAAGTCCCCCCTGCTTTATATAGGAGCTGCTGAAACCCTATCCAACTTTTAGCTGTCGCGGTGCATCACCCCCCAAAACTGATTCCAGCCAGTCT